ATTTAATAGCTTAATCTCAGGAAATGGGGAGATACTTTCCAAGAGCTGTAGTAATATGTATATACCTGCTATATTTCTGTTGAAATACAGACTTTCCTCCTTACAGATGATCATACACACACACTTTTTTTTTGCTATGAGGTCACAAGTAAAGAGATTGAAGATATGATTACAGCGTTAAAGAACAAAAATCCTCACCTCTTTAATGAAAGTTTTGTTCCTGCCAGCAAAGCAAGAATGATTACAATCAAGACCTGAGCTAGATTGTACACTGCTTGGAATCATACAGGCAACCTTTTATCTGGAATTAAGACACTGAACTCTTCACTTCTCAGTTCTCAAATAATGATTGGTGTGCAAACTCAAAATTGGACCATGGAATTCGTTAGCATCATTGTAGAATACTTTTACAGATTATATAAATTGGCTCTTTTCTTTTGGTGCATGCATTCTTCCTTCCTGAGATGCACGTGTGTCCTTGCAAAACCACTTGGAAATTGTGGTATGAGGGACAAAGGAACTGGAATTTCTTGCACTGACCTGGTTGAGACGAGTTTGTACATTCAACTCCATTGGTTCCTATATTGTGACAAAATGGCTCTTTGCCATATAGAGAAATTTCTGACCTGGGTGGCCCAGGCTAGCCCAATCTCATCAGATCTCAGAAGCTAAGCAGGGTTGGCCCTGGCTAGTATTTGGATGGGAATACCAGGGTCATGATGCAGAGGCAGGCAATGACAAACCACCTCTGAACATCTCTTGCCTTGAAAACCCCACAGGGTCGCCATAAGTTAATTGTGATTTGATGGCACATACCACCACCACCACGAAATTTCTGACTGTACATTACTTCTGTGGGTGCAGAGAAGGCCTTTGTCTTCTTGTAACAGGAGCATCTCTGGAGGGAAGCCAGCATGGTATAGCCCTGTCTCATCAGATCCTGGAAGCTATGCAGGCACAGTATGTGGAAGGAAGAGCACCAGGGAAGACTCTGCAGAGGAAAGCGATGGCAAACCACTCTTGCTTTGCACTTGCCTTGAAAGCCCCTTGCTGCGTTTGTCATGCTGGCTGCAACTTGATGGCACTTTACATACATCAGGAGCATTTCTATTACTTGCAATGAAATACATGACATGTAATCTTTGCATCCTCTGAAGCACTGTGTAAACACCAGGAGGTACAGGTGAAAGTTAATTTTAGAGCTGGTGACTTCTGAATCAGCAAGACTCCGTAGGCAACCCTTTCCCCATTCCTGTTCCCTCTTTCCATTGAACTGTGCAAAGAAGCAGCGAGTTGCGGCTCTGATATCACAAAATCAGTCTATTCATGGACGATCCCAGTTCACAAGATGCTACGGAAAACAATAATAGAATATGATATTTCAAGTTAGCCTTTGAAAACTCAGAAATGTTTGATTAGCAATGAATGAAAACTCTAAAGTATATAATAAGCTACCACCCTCTTGGAAAGTAACATGGAAAGTTTTGATCTCTCTTTTTTAAAAAGATAATTTGAAGTAAAATGTGTTACAGTATTTGTATTTCTCTAGATCCTCTGGGCATGTGCATAGATCTTATATGGCCTCTGTAGCCTGCTTATCCCAAAATATCCCTTTAGTAGATGATGCCAACACCTAGAGGTTATGTTATATTAAGCAGCAGTTGCTATAGACAAGTCAGTAGTTCTCTTACTATAGTCTGCATTTGCATGTGCAGTACTGGGAATTATTCCACCTTCTCTCTTCTCCTTTCTGGCAGAGTGAATTTAAAAGGGGTCAGCGTGTCATGGAGTCACTCAGAACTAAGGAACCAATTGTGAAATGGTTTTGTTCTCACACTTACTAGGTTTGCCAACTGTGGCTTAGGAAATTCCTGGAGATCTAGGGGCAGTGCCTGGAGAGGACAGAGTTTTAAGAGGGGAGGGAGCTCAGTGGATATGTGATGTCCATAGAGTCTACCCTCTGAAGTTGCCACTTCCTCCAGGAGAACTCCAGGCCCTATGTGGAGTTTGGTAACTAGGGGTGTGCTTTTGGCACAAACCGAGCTGAAAAAATACCTGAAAAATACCTTAGCTGTATTTTTTGGGTATTAATTAAGCTGAACACAGATCAAAGGAACTGATTCAGCTACCAGTATAGCTGAGCCTGAATAAAAACCGATTTTCCAGTTTTTATTTGGGTATGTTCAGCTATACCCAGTGGCTGGTGGGCTCCTTTTGTAGCTCAGTTTAAACCTGCAAGAGGAACCCATCAGCGGAAGTACGTGTGGAGCTCCTGCCGCACCAGCTGATCCTCTCTTGCAGTTGCAAGAGGAGCCAGCCCAGAATTGGCCAGAGTGGTGGGAGTTGAGAGTTCCCTTTGCCCCAGCTGGTCCTCTCCCAGCCAGGTCTGCATGTGGTGGGGAGAGATCCTGGGGCCATTTTCTCCTGGGGCACTGTTTAAACTGCGTCGCAGGAGAAGCCCTCCTGGGCAACACCATAGGAGAAGCCACTGCATTTTTCAGTTTGGGTCTATTGGACCTGAAAAAATTTAGGATCTGGGATTTTTTTGGAAATACCGATTTTTTCGTGTCCAATAGACTTGAACCGAAAAATACAGTTGATTTTTTTGCACACCCCTATTGGTAACTCTAACGTGCACATGAGCAAATTGGAATATTGACAGGTGAAATTAAAGAATAAATAAAGCAAAATAAAGCTGCCTTATCAGGACTTCAGACAGCCCTCTGCTTGGAGATGAATCACAGTACCTTTCTCACAGCAGTTTCTTTTGGGGTCTTTCAGAAAGTCAGGTGTTCATTCAAACTCACCAAAAAGGGATTGAATTAATAAACTATTTCATGAGGATCATACATTTCCTTGCACACAGCCCCTTTCTGTACACAGCTAAAAGGAGCAGGCTGTGGAAGGTCAGTAGTTCAGCAGTTCAAGACCCGGGTGCCGCATGATGGAGTGAGCTCCCATCTCTAGTTCCAGCTCCTGCCAACCTAGCAGTTCGAAAGCAAGAAATTGCAAGTAGATAAATAGGTACCACTTCGGTGGGAAGGTAACAGCGTTCCGTGCGCCTTGGTGTTTAGTCATGCCGGCCACATGACCACGGAAACGTCTTTGGACAGCGCTGGCTCTTCGGCTTTGAAACGGAGATGAGCACCGCAACCCTAGAGTCGGATTTGACTGGCTTTCGAGCAAGGGAACCTTTACCTTTACCTTTAAAAGGAGCTAGATGGGGTGCAAAGGGTAATTAATGGGTGTCAAACTAGAGGAAATTCTGCCCCCCCCCCAAGTTGTCAGGTCAATGTACAGATGGGCAGGTGTGACATCTGTATGCTGATTTGTGCTCTCCCCCCAATCTGGGATGTTTACATGCATTGCTCATGACCTACAATGGAGTTTGTGATTCAGTTGAAAAGGTGTTAATGGACTGCTGCTGCTACTTACTGCTACTAGCCAGTTTGGTGTAGTGGTTAAGTGCGCAGACTCTAATCTGGGAGAACTGGGTTTGATTCCCCACTCCTCCACTTGTAGCTGCTGGATGACCTGGGGCAAGCCATAGTTCTGTCAAAGCTGTTCTCTCAAGGACAGTTCTGGAAAGAGCTCTCTTAGTCCCACCTACCTCACAGGGTGTCTGTTGTGGGAACGGGAAGGGGAAGGAGTTTGTAAGCCGCTCTGAGACTCCGAGTGAAGGGCGGGGTATAAATCCAATCTCCTCTTCTCCTCTCCTCCTCCTAACTAATGTGGCTACCCACCTGAAACTGCTGTAAGGTCAGTGAGTTCATTGCTCAGTGGAGATCAGTTGCAATAATTTTCTACAACGATATTACCAAGTAATTATGTATTTTGTGGATGCACAATTTATTTGTTTTATTACTTTCATTTATAGTCCTCCTTTAGCACTGGGGTCCAAGGTGGATTAAAAGTATGATAAAAACAGTAAGATGATTACAACATATAACATCAGGCAGTCAGTAAACAGCTTATAAAATATGACGATGTTTGAACCTAAAAGCAAAGATTCTTGTTAGGGTGGAAGAAACCAAAGCACATGTAAACATACCTGTTTAAGATGGCAAGACCATCAATGTAGGAATGATAAAAGTGACCTCCTGGGTTGAACCATTATTGCTTCTTCTATAAGAATGCCCTCCTGCAGAATTCTGTTATTTCATATTTTGTGGAAAGAAATCTTCCAACTCCGTTCTGTAGATACAGCTAGATTTGGGTCTAGTAGCACCTTAGAGACCAGCAACATTTTTGGGATATAAGTTTTTGAGATATCAGATACCATAAGGAGCTACCAGACTTGAATCTAGGTGTTCTACTGTAGACCAGTGCAGCTGTCCTCTTAAACTGTTCTGTAGATAATTTCCTCTTTAAAATATGCTTTCCAGTATATCATAATATATCTGGTATACAGTATTTTGTTCCTTTTTAATCCACAGTTTGTAAAAATGCTTATGCCGCCCCCCCCCCCCCAACCCTCCTCTGTCCATCTGTATGTCTCTGTACATCCAGGGCTGTATGCTCATTTTTTGGATAGATTGGAAAGAAAACTAGATTTTATGAAGGCTTTTTACTCCCCGGATAAAAATTATGGAAAACGATGCAGTGCGCAAATGGTTTAAAATGCCCTCAGTTCAACATTTGATAAATAAGCATACGATAGAAACCCAAACAACAAGGGACTCACTCGAGAATTGCAATGCAAGTAGGTTTACTTATTTGAATTGTCGTTCCTCTTGTACAAATTCCTACTGTGTGAAGAAATGGGAGATAATTTTTAGGTAGAAAACTGAATTCAGGCTTATGACCATCAATTTGGTCTTCTACACGCTTTAATCTGTCACTCATATAAAGGAGTAATCCCATAATGCCTTCACAAGCTTGTATCTAATTTCCCCTAAGTTATATTGTGGCTTTCAACAAAATGTTGGAGTCTATTTAAAGGGATTTTTTTTTTTTTGCAAAGTTGTTTCTTATTCCTATTTATGGCGGATTTACCCGCAATGACAATGGTACTGGGTGAGGATACTCTACGACATTGGGTTCACTTTGTGTTAATACTGTAAGGAAGCTAGAGAACAGTCTTTGGTTTTGCCTTCCTGCCTGATACATCCACTTGGATATTTTTTATTGCCACCTCAAACACATCCAAGACAGAGCTGTTTATCTCTTCCTTTCCTTGATTGTTGTCTAGATCCACCGTCATTGCCTGTCGTCTAGACATCTATACTAGATATTCAGCCTTCTTTCACCTTTGGTTTTCATGCGGAGTCTGTTGCCAAGTTATGCCACGTGTCTCTGTATAACATTGTAAATACAATTCAAGGTCCTCGTCGTAACCTTTAAAGCCCTTCACAACCTTGGACCCATATATTTGAAGGACCGTATCCTTCCATATGTCCCTCTGTGCCAACTGCTGTCTTCAAGCAGCTGTCCCACCAGGTACGGTGGCCCATGTGGGATTGACCAGACCCCAAGCCATCATGGCTCTTGCTGTGAGATGATCCCTCTCCATGGAGATCTTCAGGTGGTGCTAAAAAGCTTGCCCATTTGCCAGGGCATTTGAGAGGGTATGAATGGCAGGCATCTTTTCAGGGGACAGGGGTGGGGGGAGATTTGGGAACTGTTACTTTGTTCTGTTTTTTTCTTCTAGTTATTCTTACGCATCTTCTGTTCTGTCTTCAAAAGCACAGCTTCTTCAAGTGGCTTTTGGTTTAAACTTTTAATCTTTCCCCCCAAGATTGCAGTTGCTCTTTCAACCCTGTTGTGGTGTTTTTGATTTTGTTTTATTGTACTCTCTCTTGAGTTGAACTGTTACTTTGTTCTGTTTTTTTCTTTATTCTAGTTATTCTTATGCATCTTCTGTTCTGTCTTCAAAAGCGCAGCTCCTTCAAGTGGCTTTTGGTTTAAACTTTTAATCTTTCCCCCCAAGATTGCAGTTGCTCTTTCAACCCTGTTGTGGTGTTTTTGATTTTGTTTTATTGTACTTTCTCTTGAGTTGCTTTGGGCAGCAAGATGACAAGTTCTATAAATCACGAACGGACAAATGATATTTTGATAGGAAGCACTGCTGGAAGTGCATTCAGAAGACCGTGGCATGGGCTGTTTGATTGAACAAGGGTTCTAGCTTCAGACTAGGAACCATATGTGTATTATACCTTGCTCCAGGATGTCTTGTAGATGAAATTTTGGTGTCTTGTAGACTTTCATTGGCAATATGAACTCCAAAATAAGCTAGTGAATCAAGCCAGCCTGGTACGATTGGAGCACAATTTCTAAATGCTGAGAATACCTGATTGTGGAAGTTTCTGCCTGTTTGAGGATCAGGTAGAAGGACACTCAGATCAGTAGCTTCAGACTAGGAACCATATGTGTATTATACCTTGCTCCAGGATGTCTTGTAGATGAAATTTTGGTGTCTTGTAGACTTTCATTGGCAATATGAACTCCAAAATAAGCTAGTGAATCAAGCCAGCCTGGTAGAATTGGAGCACAATTTCTAAATGCTGACAATACCTGATTGTGGAAGTTTCTGCCTTTTTGAGGATCAGGTAGAAGGACACTCAGAGCAGGCCAAATAAGTATCTCAGAAGTGTATTGAAGCTCGTCTCACAGAAGTGCTGATGGAATGGTGCTGCTTTGATGTTAACAGCTGCTGTGATGAATTGGTTGGTGCTCAGCTGAATAGAGCTCCTTTAATGGTTGACTCATTTGACCTAAGGTCTCCAGTCATGCCACACTAAATGTTTAAGTTTTTAAGAAATTATTATTAGAGGTTAATCCTATAAATGTTCTGAACCCCATCATAACAAGTTCATCTTTTCCTTCCACATAATCACTACCGAGAAGAATGTTGCCATGGCCAAAGTAATCCTCAGATCCTCATCCTTTAATAAAAATAGTACAATCTTAATTCTGTCAACAGATACTAAATGGAGCAGCCATATTGCTTTATATAGATCATACCATGGGCAAAACAACATAATGTGATCCAGTGTTTCAACCTCTCTTTGTCAACATCTCAATATCTGTCCTGGAATGGGATCTTCATATAGCAACCCTTCAGAATGGTTCATAGAATTGCATTAATCCTGGCTAGAAAAAAAGTCTTGGCTAAGGCAGAAATTGTCAGATATTTCATCTAGACTGGCAGGGCAAGATTGGGGGGGGGAGCTGAAGAGGCCTGTTCCATTCAAGAACTGGTATAGTATTGCAATTTGGTATTCCCACCTTGTATGATCAGGGCGCAGCATCAGAGGGAGAGTTACCATATGGACCATCCCAACTCATTCTCGCACATTCTTACATAACCAGGGAAGGATGCTTCTATGACTGTTAGGGCACATGTAGTTTATTACATGCTTATGTTTAGAGTTTAGCATTCTGCTTCTGGGTGCTTGTGTTAATAAGAACATAAGAGAAGCCAATGCTGGATCAGGCCAATGGCCCATTCGGTCCATCACTCTTGTCACACAGTGGCCAAAAATACCAGGTGCCATCAGGAGGGCCACCAGTGGGGCCAGACACTAGAAGCCCTCCCACTGTTGTCCGTCCCCCCCAAGCACCAAGAAGACAGAGCATCCCTTGCCCCAGACTGAGAGTTCCTATCTATACCTTGTGGCTAATAGCCACTGATGGACCTCTGCTCCATATGTTTATCCAATTCCTTCTTGAAGCCGTCCGTGTTTGTTGAAGCCGTCCACCACCTCCTGTGGCAGTGAATTCCATGTGTTAATCACTCTTTGGGTGAATAAGTACTTCCTTTTATCCATTCTTACATAACTGCTCAGCAATTTCATTGAGTGCCCATGAGTTCTTGTATTGTGAGAAAGGGAGAAAAGTACTTCTTTCTCTACCTGCTCTATCCCATGCATAATCTTGTAAACCTCGATCATGTCACCCCTCAGTCATTTCTCCAAGCTAAAGAGCCCCAGCCTTTTTTCGTAGGAAAAGTGTTCCAACGCTTTTATCATTCTAGTTGCTCTTTTCTGTACTTTTTCCAATGCTATAATATCCATACTGAGGTGTGGTGACCAGAATTGCACACAATATTCCAAATGAGGTTGCACCATCGATTTATACAGGGGCATTATGATACTGGCTGATTTGCTTTCAATTCCCTTCCTAATAATCCCCAGCATAGCTTTGACCTTTTTTTATTGCAGTCACACACTATCTGGACATTTTCATTGAGTTACCTACTACGACTCCAAGATCTCTCTCTCTTGGTCACACTCTGCCAGTTCGGACCCCATCAATGTGTATTTATAGTTAGGATTTTTGGCCTCAATGTGTGTCATTTTGCACTTGGCCACATTGAACCCCATTTGCCACATTGATGCCCACTCGCCCATCTTCAACAGATCCCCTTAGAGTGCCTCAGAATCCTCCCTGGTTTTCACCACCATGAACAATTTTGCATCATCCGTAAATTTAGCCACTTCACTGCTTACTCCCAACTCCAAACAACTTGAAAAGCATCGGATGCAGTACTGAGCCCTGCAGTACCCCACTGCTTACCATCCTCCACTGTGAAAATTGCCCATTTATACTCACTCTCTGTTTCCTTGTCCTTTTATCCCGTGACTATTGAGCTTACTTAGAAGCCTTTGATGAGGAACTTTATCAAAAGCTTTCTGGAAGTCAAGGTAAACAACATCTATTGGGTCCCTCTTGTCCACATGTTTGTTCACCCCCTCAAAGAACACTAACAGGTTAGTGAGACAAGATTTTCCCTTACAGAACCCATGCTGAGTCTTCCTCAATAGTTTTGTTCATCAATGTGCCTACTAATTTTCTCCTTAATAACAGTTTCTGCCAACTTACCCGATATTGACATCAGACTGACTGGCCTGTAATTTCACGGATCTCCTCTGGGACCCTTTTTAAAGATGGGAGTGACATTAGCTACCTTCCAGTCCTCAGGAATGGAGGCAGATTTTAGTGAAAGATTACATATTTTTGTCAGGAGATCCACAAGTTCACATTTGAGTTCTTTCAGAACTCTTGGATGTATGCCATCTGGGCCTGGTGATTTACCAGTTTTTAAGTTGTCTATCAGTCGTAGGACCTCCTCTCTTGTCACCTCAATCTGACTCAGGTCTTTCAACACCCCTCCCGAAATCAGCGATTCTGGAGTGGGTAAGCACTTCACATCTTCCACAGTGAAGACACAGGCAAAAAATGCATTCAGCTTCTCAGCCATTTCCCTATAATCCTCCAGATTTCTGGGATTTTTTGCACAGTGGTGTTGAGCTATGCCTTAAATCATTCTGTATCTGTTTTTAAATTCTAACGTTTGAAATGGGCTGAGGGTCAATGTTCCCTCTAAGCTGACTTAGTGTGAGCTAGCTCACAGTTTTCTAGCCTCTGGCTCACACGTTTTTGTCTTAGCTCAGGAAGGGTGGCTCCAGAGCAAACTAATTTATGCAGCAGCCAAATCGCTCGCTCACAACTTTAGTGCCAGTAGCTCACAGAGTAGAATTTTTGCTCACAAGACTCCACAGCTTAGAGGGAGCATTGCTGATGGTATAATACAGACTCAGAATAAATCTATTCACACTCTTGCACAAGAATGTTATTTGATTATAGTTCTGCTTTTGTAGAGTTTTGTTCTTCGCAATCATGTGATCTCAGCCAGAGAGATATTACTTGTGTGTTTCTCTTTCTGCCTAGTGAGAGTTTTGGGCCACTGCTTTTCTGGAACTATATGTTTCACAGACATTTGTGTGCAGAGTGATTATCTAACGTTATCGTTATTCACCATGGTTCTGCACGTTAATGGACAGCTGTAAATCAGAGTAGATCACAGGGTGTCTTTCCTGTACATAACACCTGAATTTAGGTCTGTGAAACTATCAGTATTACAAATGCAGTGATACTAGCAGGAAGCCCATTGTGAATCATTAGAGGAGGGAGCAAGTTGGAAATCCTACCCGCACGCCAGATCCTGCTCTCCATAATTTTATAAGCTCCCAGGCTTGACTGGACTAATTTCTTCATCCACCCCTTTTCCCTTTAGTGGACTGTCAACATTCCATGCCTCCTGGAGCATATTAAATTCTCCTTAGGCCATTTCCTCTGCCCTGGTTAAATGATAAAGTCATATTTTCCTGTATACCTGGGCAATCCCTCAAACATTTAGAGACTCTTACTTTGTTTGTGGGTGGCCTGGTTCTGCTGCCTTCATGGTTGGTATGAGGGCCAGCCACTTTCCTGCTAATTACAGTGATAAATCCACAACCATGCTCCACAGTGCTTCTTGCAATTACAGTGCTGAGGCAAAAGTGATGATAAGTGAAGATATTTGTGCAACCAAGCTTTTAAAATTCAGATACCTATTGTCATATATACCGTGGTACTGCATTACAGAATTCTCTTCAAAAATGTGCTTTTCCATGGAGATGTATAGCTATTTATCTGTATTTTTAACTGAGAACAGGGTAGTTAGGAACAGATATTTTAGAATACTTGGTTTTCGTTTAGGTTTTATTTGCAGAGAGCCCCATGCCTGCGTACCTGCATGCCTAAAAGCAGAGGACAATTATTTTTATAAAGATGCAGCTCTCCTTGTATCCAGGCCATGATCTAGATAGCCCAGCCTAGCCCAATCTTGTCAGATCTGTAAGCATTTGGATGGGAGACCACCAAGGAATAGCAGGGTTGCTGCACAGAGGCAGGCAATGGCAAACCACCTCAGAATGTCTCTTGCCTTAAACCCCTATGGAGTTGCCATAAATTGGCTGTAACTTGATGGCAAAACAACAACAACAAAAAGCTATCCATGAGCTATGCAGCCCTATTGTGAAAATGCATTCAGGTTCTCATGTAGTGAAAAGTTGTTTGTTTGTTTTTTAAATAAGATAAAGCACTTCTAGGAAACATACAGATCATATTTTGTATTAAGCTATTATGTGGAGGATTTAGCCAAATCCCTTTAGCCAGAGGGAGAACTAAGCACATATATTACTCATAAAACTGTAAACATTGCCTTGCTGGATTAGACGGAGCCATATGGTCCAGGGTTATGATGGCAACAGGAGTTAGCTAGATTTTGTGGAGTTTTTTGTTTTTGTTTTTAAAGTTGGTCATAATAGCAATAACTCTCTTTGCTCCCAGCACCTGCAAAGTATATCTATTTATCAGTCATGGCTAGAGATTTCAAAGCCATGGGGGTAGGGTGATGAGAAATAGCTGTATCCCATGCTGTCTTGTTACATACATCTTGATTTTTGTCAGCTAATTGTGTTATTTCAATGGAAACAGCCTCCTACAATCATGATCAAATGTTTGGATATTGAGTTAACACCGCTGTTCCGTTAACTTAATGTCTGTGTTACCCTGTTCTGTTAACTTAATGTTCTGTGTTACCAACTCCATTTTAATAGATTAAAAATACTGGGTTTAGATGTCATTTTTAAAAGTAACAAATTTTAAAACAGTTGATCTCTGTCTACTTTGTGTTAGTATTATGCATTCAAAGGAAAAGTCAGATGCCCCTGGGTATAAGCACAACTAGTAGATCATTGGAATTTGGTCAGTATTTACAGCTACTGATCTAGGTGTTGTTTGTAAGATGCACCGGTTTAGATGTTCACGGAGCATAATTTTTGTTGCAGTTGTTTACAAGAAAAGGCAGGTTTCTTTAGCAGGTACCATTAAGAGCATGAGACAGCATCGAGATTTATGAATGAAACAGAATTCTTGGGAAGCTCTAAAACAAGCCTTTTATTTTTCTTGTGGCCTACAGGACCCAGTGTGAGGACTTTCACTCAGTTTTATTTTACTGTGGAGCCAGCGGACACCCTGTCAGTCAGAGCTGCTTCTGTTATACTGAATTGCTCTGCGTACTGTGAGTCTTCTCCAAAAATCGAATGGAAAAAAGATGGGACTTTCTTGAACTTGGTGTCAGATGACAGACGCCAGCTGCTACCAGATGGATCTCTATTAATAAACAGTGTGGTGCATAATAAGCACAATAAACCCGATGAGGGGCATTATCAGTGCGTTGCAACTGTGGAAAGCCTTGGGACCATTATAAGCAGAACAGCAAAGCTCACAGTAGCAGGTAAGTTGTTTTTTTTTAAAAAATATTCTAGCACTTTGCCCATTGCAGCCTGGGAGCTGATATTGCTTTGGGGGGGACTACCTCAGTATGTGTGTCTATATGTGTATATATATATATAAATTGACTCTCCCCCTTCCAGTTTATCCCATTCCTTCCAGTAGATCCTATTATATTGTTTTTGTACCTCCTAATGTGTCTTGTCACTACTTATGCTATGCTTCAGTTTTTTCTGGTGGTTCTAGACTGCGACAATCCTAATGCATTGTTTACTGAATATCCCATTTTGTTGATTGTCCTGACTCACTGTGTGTCATCCGCCTTGAGTCCCTGCGAGAAAGGCAAACTATAAATAATGTAAATACATTTTAAAAATCTCATGCTGGCAAAATACAGTCTGAACCATTTTCTGTGTACCTATAACAGAATCTGTTAGCTCTGACACTTGAGTTCTTCCTCTGAGGTGGAGGACATCTTGGTGGGTGATTCCCACCATCCATTCATAGGTGGACGGCTGGAACAAATTCTTTCCACTTCCTGTCTCCTCTGTGGGAGTCACCTCCTCTTCAATTCTTTTTGTGCCTTATCAGGGAGAGCAGTGTGCTTCATCTACTCTGATACTTTCTCCTTGTATCCCTATTCCTACTAAATCTTCATCTACTCTACTGTCTGTTTTTTCCTCCCATCCCACTCCTATTCTGACTCCTCTTGTGCCTCCACTGCAAGAGCACCCAAGTGCCAGGAGAGCCTTCTGACAGCCATGGTGGCCATTTTTTCAAATCAGGTGGTCTTTAAGAGCATGTCCCTTTGGCCGCTCATATCATGGATGATTGTGAGGGCAGTGATGGCTTTTGCTCAGAGGAGGAATTAGAAGCCCCACCACCACCACCACTGATCCCAGTGTAAACTCTGACAAGTTCAGCCAGATCTGGCGTGGAGCCATTTCTGCCACCATGCCTGAACCACCTGGCTCACAGAAGTGGTTGGAACTGCAAAAGAGTGCCAAAATGTGGCGCCATTGCAAAATGTTGCCAGAGCCCATAGACTCCTTGTTCCTGTCAGCACTGACTGGTGGCCATTTTAATTGCCCAGTTGGAGGTTGCGGAATGGGTCTCCCCACATCCATGAGTTCTCCGGTCGATGCAGGACTTGGTAGGAACAATTAGAATCAACATTTGGAGGCCGCAGCGCTGAATGTGGTGCTGGGGCCCCATTCTGATAACAGCTCATTGGGTCTACTTGTGAGTAAAGTGCAAGAAGCCAGGCCCTCTACTCTTTCCTTTGATTTTCTTGCCCTCATTAGGCAAACTGTGTGTGAGGAAATTAAAAGTTTCTACAATGGAGAAACCTTAGAACATACAGAGTCCAATCCAGTACCTCCTCTCCCCTTTCCCACCACGACAGGGTGGCTCAGAAAGGTTATCTTCCTCTAAAGGAGGGCTTAACTGGCCCACTAAAGTGGATTGGAAAGAGTCTTTTAATAGGAAAAGAGGGAGAGATAGTTCACAATGGGAACCAGACGCCTCTTCGGGTGGTGATCCAGAGGAAAATGAGGAGGGGAGTTTCTTTCTGATAAGGAAGAGGATGAGATCAAGATTCCTGAGCAGTCTGTCATGTTCTTTAAGCCAGAGGATTATCAGTATTTATCTAAAACTATAGCAGCCCTCAAGGTCTAAGAGACCCTATGTGGAGAGGAACTAGCTCCCATAGATTTGAATCACAAGAGCAGACCCAAAGGGAATAAGGAATTCTTTCCTATATCTAGTGTAGCTGAGTTCTAGTGTAGCTGAATTCTTCAAAAAGCAGTTAAAGGCTGAATGGGTTAAACCTATGGCTAACAAGCAATATCCAGGATTCATTAAGAATTTAGATGCCGTACCATATTTTACTTAAGAGTTTTTTCAGGTTCCTCCAGTGGATACCTCAGTCACTGTGTTGCAGTCCTCTGGATTTTTATCAGAAGATGGCTAAGGCTCTGTTAGAGATAATATGGATAAGAAAGCCAACTTTGCCCTAAAGAGGGCCCTTGAGGCAATAGCCATGGCAATTTAGGCTTCTGCTACAGCTTCCATTGTGTTCAGGGTGGCCATAATTTGGTTCAGGAAACTTCTCCAACTACTACTGTCTGGTAATTGTCACCTTCTTGAGGGGGCCAATAAAGTCCTCAAAGCCACTTCCTTTACAGCATACGCAACATTAGATTAGTTAATCTTTTCCTCAAGGGCCATAGCTTCTGCAGCTGCTGCCAGGAGGATGCTATGGTAGCATGCCTGGCAATCTGAAGCACTCTAAAGCATTCCAAGGGGACAGGTTATTTGGCAGTGCTCTTGACAAAATCATGGTGGAGACCAGGGATAAGAAAAAGGCACTCCTCAGGATGCTAAAACGCAATAACAGAAGACCCTTTGGGAATTATTCCTTTCATTCCTAGCATACACTTCCCATATTCAAGCAAGACAACAGAAGATCCAACTGGGGTACTTCTAGACAGCCTTTCAGAAGAGGACCTTTTAATACCTAATTTAACAAACAGGCAAACAACAGATCAGAAAGACCCAATCGAGATGAAAAGCCTTCAAAAGCATGACCGTGCATCAATTCTGGTGGTGGTGGGGTCATCTTTTTGACTTTCAAGACATCTGGGTCAACTTTCAGGCAGACATTTGGTCAATAGCAATACTTACTAAGGGGTATACCATAGAGTTTGTCAGACCTCCACCAGAATGATTTCTAATTCCCTCCTGCAGAAGAACCCAGAAAAACGGCACAGAATGAACATGGCGATCCAGCACCTTCTCAGCATTCAGGCCACAGAATCTGTCCCCCTCCAGAAAGCGGATGGGGAGTATATTCCATCTTCTTCACAGTACAAAAAAAGAATGGAGATTGGAGAGCTATCTTGGATCTGATAAACCTCAACAAGTTCATCAAGCTGAGGCATTTCAGAATAGAGACTTTCAGATTCAATAACTGAATCTCTGGAAGCAGAGGAATATCTCACTTCGATAGGTCTAACAGAGCCTTAACTCCACATTCCAGTTTTGCTGGGCCACAGAAGATTTCTACGGTTCTGCATCGGTGAGTCCCATCTACAATTCAGGGCTCCCCCATTCGTACTCTCAGCAGTTCTGAGAGTCTTTTTAAAGATCTTGATCAAGCTAGTTGTAAGATTAAGGGAACAAGGCATTCACAATCTACCCTTAATTGGACAATTCCTCGAGCAGATTGAGTTCCAAGATCAAATCATGCCAAGACACAGTAGCAACCAATCGTTGCCTTCAAGCTCACGGATTCATCATCAACCTACAAAAAATTCCTTGGAACCAGAATAGTGGCTAGAGCATCTGGGTGCCATTGTAGACACCGTGTCCAACTGCCTTTTCTTGACAGAAAGGAAGGCAAGGAAGATGAAAGAAATGTTGGAGTCAGCCATCAAAAGCAAATCATCGTCACTAATGATGCTTGCAAAACTAATGGGTCTGCTGGTTTCAAGCATCAATGCTGTCCAGTAGGGATGTTTTCTCACAAGACCCCTGAAACTACTTCTGAGACCCTACCAATTCCAGATTATGAGGAAAGTGATTTCTCCATTTGTATC